GTGGCTTAAAACTCATGCCGGGCGCGTGTGCGTGCGTGCCCAAGATCCTGAGAGGAGAATGGAGGAGAAGGGATTGTGGCATGGCCATCCCCCCTGGGGGGTGATTTCTCAAGAAAAGAAAAGAAAAGAAAAGAAAAGAAAAGAAAAGAAAAGAAAAGAAAAGAAAAGAAAAGAAAAGAAAAGAAAAGAAAAGAAAAGAAAAGAAAAGAAAAGAAAAGAAAAGAAAAGAAAAGAAAAGAAAAGAAAAGAAAAGAAAAGAAAAGAAAAGAAAAATCATTAAAGGAAGTCAAGGCCACAAAATATTTCTTACAGTGGTACAAGAGCACCTTGACTATCTAAGGAAGGTAAATTGAGGCTCAAATCTTATCTCTTTCACTAACAAGGAACATATATAATAGTATGAAAGGTTTCCACATCTGTGACTTTATTTACTTTGCAAGACACTGCTATGTGATAAGCCCACAAAAAGTATTCACATACTCCAGTAAAGGAAACTGAGATAAGCAAGTGGAAAGACCACAATATTTAGAATAGGTCTCCTGAGTTAAGAGCCACTATATTTCTCATCTTTCTGTTCCAGGTTGGCAGCCATACTAACCACACAATGCTAAAACATTGTGGAGTAGGATCATTAGTAGCTTTCCTTTGAAGTAGGCTGTGAGAATTAAACCAAGCAACATATGAACAGTTTAAGACTAATGTCTGCAATGCATATATGTATTAATTTATATGTGTATTAAGATGTATATTTGTATATACAAAAACATAGACTTGTATATACATGCACATGTGTACAAACATACATAGCTGTGTATTCGAGTACACACACACACAACTTGAAAAGAGATAAGTAAATAATGATTAGCATAACCAGGTTAGCTATTTAAGTAGGGCCACCTATACTAGACCTCCAATTGTAAGGATTAAAAATAAAAAGAATTTTTAAAAAAGGAAGGTGGGGCCAGCAGATGGAGGGTAAGGGGCTGGATCCCACATGGCCAACTTTGTGCACCTTGAAAATCACCCTGGGCTAGAGTGCATGTGTGCCCAGAATCCCAAAAATAGAACAGAAAAGAAGGGATTGCAGTGCAGCCATCCCCCTGGGGGTGATTTCTCACTCCCTCTCCTCCTTTCTGTCTGTCTCTCTCCTGCAAATGCATGTGCCCTGTAACAAAACAAACATACAAACAAAAGCTTCTTTATAAAAAAGATTCTTTATCCTTTAGTCCTAGAGAAAATCTTTCTACAAAAGGGAATAGGATCAGTGAGGCAGACCGGCAGAGCTTCCCTGGTGGGTGCCCGTCAGGTCACAAAGCTGGGAGGTATTCAGGCCCACCAGTCCAGAGCTCCTGCCTCATCCTGGGCCTCAGGCCCTCCTGTCAAGCAACTTGGGTTTGGAGGAGGGAAAGAAGGTGGCCTAGCTTCTCGACCGACTCCCAGCCTCTTATGCAGGCTAACTGTTCTCTACCCCTTGGTAGTCATTTATTCACCTTCAGGGCACGATAATGAAATGTTCAAGCCAAGAGGAACTGTCCTAGGCGGCCTGTATGTGTGTGAGCCTGTGTTTGGGGGAGAGGCGCTTGCCCATCTCTGCCACCCCGAGGTGCTGGGATAGTCCTCCATGCGCGCACTGACAGTGTGGGTTCCCGCCTGGCTGGTGCTGCCACACAGGAGTCAGTTACCTGGACGGCGGCAAGTCACCAAGGAGGCCCTGGCTCACAAAACGGCGGGAAGTAACAAACAGTCCCAGAAATGCTTAAGAGACAGGGAAAGTGTGGAGGTGAGCAGGAGCTGAGAGGACGGAAAACGGGCAGAAACCAGAACCAGCCAAATCGTTCCAAACATGGGTCTGGCAGAAGACAAAACGTGAAACCTCAGGCCGACGCGCGCTCGCGCTCCGTGCGTCGCAGGTGCTCGGCGTCCCAGCGGCGGCGTGGGGCTCCTCCACTGGGCTGGTGGCACAGCCAGCGGGGGCCGAGGCGAGCGTGGGTCCAGCGGGGTGGACAGAGACAGGCGAAGTGCAGGACCACAAGGCCAGGCCGCTCTGGGGTGTGGGCCCTCGCAGTGGGGCGGCGGCGGGCACTTCCGGGCCTTCTGTGGGTGGGGCTGGCCTCGGAGTGTGGTTTCCCCGCCCGGGGTCACGCTCAGTGCGCAGGGCGCGTAGGAAGGAGGTAATCTTGCCCGAGGAAAACCCAACGGGGAACAGGCGGCGGGCTCAGAGGGCGGGAGCCAGGCACTCCGCCACGCGGAACCCGGACTGGACCCGCGGGCTCCCTCACCTGCCTCACAGGTCAGCGCCTGCAACCAGCCCCCACGCGACTGCGGCTGCAAAGCGCAGGGCTCCGGGCGTCGGAGGGCCGGGCCGCATGCCCAGGAGTGGGAGGCCAGGACCTTGAGCACATTCCCGGGGAGACTTCGATTTGTCTCGGCTCTCCAGCGCAGGTGAACTCTTGTGCACAGCGTGTGCGGCCCCACCCAGGTGTTCCCTGCAAACCCGGGAGATACCGGCGCCCTCCACCCACTAAGGTCTGGAGGAGACAAATAGGGAGAGGAATTGGGAGTGGGCCTAGAGTTCGCAGGCCCGGAGCGCCAGGTCAGTCCCCGGCGTTCTTCCACCGACCCGGCACGACAAATGCTGGCACAGCCGGGGGTTGGGTTTCCCTTTCCCGGGACGTTAGGACTTGCGGTTGTTCTGGCACTCGACGCTCGAGCCACCTGCCTGGAGTTGGTGGGACCAGCCTGGCATGATGCCTGTGTGACCTGTGACCTCGTCCCTCGGCAGCTGTGTGCAGACGTCTGTACTCACCGCCCCAGCCCGCGACCTCGGCGTGCAGGCGGGGTTGTGGGAGCCTGGAAACTCCTGAGAAGGTTCGGATACAGGAGAGGGTGATGCTGTATCTGAAAGCTTGAAAATGCAGCATTACAATAAAACATCTCTGGGTTTGCCTTGGCTGAACACAAAACTAGCTTTGGGCACCCTTCCCGTACTACTTCCCGCCAAAACAGTCTTATGAGTAGATTGATCAGCATAGCTACCCAGCCCTAAAGTGTCTGCCACGAACACACCTACCTGGATCGCCTGGGCTGTTGCTCAGCCAAGACTCGGCTTTCTTCCTGATCGTATGATTAACTTAATGGCCATACAAAAGAAAACACAGAGGAGGCTCGCCCAGTGTCTACATGTGCCCTTCAGAAAACATGATTCCAGACTATGAGGAGGCAGTAGCCATGTCTGAATCTTTCACAGACACTGAAGCCACCTCAAGGAAAAGGAGATTTCAAAAGGATGGGATAGAAAGAAAAAGGGCATTCAAATATTTTTGAAAATAAGGCTGCAGGGCAACTCATCTTTATTTGTTTTTAAGAGACTTTTGCTGCTGAGATCCACTGGTGTCCCGGGCATAGACCATTTAGACTGTCATTATCCTGACTTAAGGGTCTCTTAAGGCCCATCTTCTGTTTTTCCCCAGATACCTTCTTCACTTCTTCCTATCCAATTTGCTCCCCACCTAGGTTTGATCTTAAAAAAAAAAGAAAAGAAAAGAAAAGAAAACTTTAGGTTCAGCTGGTATCTGACTAACTCATTAGAGAAAATTCCCTGGCGCTAGAAGTATTTTGAAGATGGTAGAAACTCCCTTACTCACTTTACAGGTGAGACAACTGAGCTGCAGGTAAGTCAAAGGATGTCAATAATGATGCAGTTACACTACCCATGGGTAGCAGAGGAAAAAGAGCTGGACCATTGAACTATTTCCACTACACAATGTATCAGATCATCCAACAATTGCCTAGGAAAATTGGGAGTAGGCTTCAAATAAATGTAGCATTAAAAAGTATTTGTATGATATTAAGGAAGCCAGTTTTCATCCACCTGAGTCACACTCCGTGTAGACACCTCTCTTCACCCTATCCCTAGTCTTTACCTACTCATTGCCCTAAGCATAACTTGTTTTGTGGTAGCCTTAAGATAATGAAGGTTTAAAATCCACTGAAAAGCCTGTCATGAACTGCCTAAAGTTTCCCATTTCAGATCTTGTCACAAATGTCCTCCTTTAAAAAACTAGGGGAGGGGGTTGACAGGATGTGAAGGGGGGAAATTAAATAACTCCTGTGATAGTTATACCAGTGTAGTGACTATTTTTAGAACATTCATAGAGTAACTATGGAGATGTCCACAGATAAATGCATGCTATTCTAAGAACTAAAGGATCGCTGTTCGTGTCTAATGGTTGTTGGACATACCACATATATATATCTACACATGCATATTCTGTCTAACTAAAAACTGTAGGGATATAAAGCCTACAGAGGGATTTTCCATAAAAGGAAGGGTTTGAAGAGGAAAAAAGTTGTCAGATTCTCCTGTATTATATTGTTTCAGTACTAGTTTTTTTTCCCAGAGACTCTGTAGTTGTTGCAGCCTTCAAAAGGAAAGTTGGGCCTTCAATACATAGACTATCCCCAAACCATGGTCATTTTCCCTGGGTTTCTAGAAGAACTCTCTCCAAAGTGTCTTAGTATAATGACAGAATGCTGAAAAGTTCTAGAGAACAAGATACTCTTCCCTGTGGGCAACACTATTACAACAGTAGAAGTTAAAGTGGACTTCTCATCTGGTTTGCCAGATCCAGACCTGAAAATTGTCTCTGGCTATTTGTAGAGATGCTGCAGCTGAAAAAACAAAAATGCTGACATCGCAGTGACAGGTCAGTTGGATGTGAGGCATCTTTGTTTAAGTCATTTGTCTTTGATCAAAAAAACCAGCATTTTCCAGTTAAAGATTTTCCAAGGGATTATCAAAGTCTGTCTTTTAGGCTCAAACTGGCATAGAGTAAATAAATGCAAATGGAGCAATGTTTATCATTCCTTTCTTCTGCTATCTCTTCCCATCTTTTCAGGAACTCAATGAAAATATGTGGTATCGACTGAAAAGTATAATACTCAGCTACAGGAGAAAAAAAAGTTTTAAAAACTTTCCAAATAATTGCTTTGGAGAAAATAGTCATTTATTGTCAAAGCATCCAACATACCCGAAGAAACTATAAAGTTTAATAAATCTTTCCAGGGATAAAAGAAACACATAACTATTCAGACTCCATTTCACTGGCACAAAATTACACTTTGTATTAAAAGGAAATACATATTTACATAATTGATGACATTCTTCACTGAAGTCCATAATCATTTCATGATACATGCATTTCCCCCTGGAAACGTAAATTGAATGGTGATCCCCTTTTTATTCGTTTTGTTTATTTTTGTAAGAACACAAGCTGTCATCAAGAAATGCAGAAAGCATCTCACCCTCTTCCTTTACTTTATATCTAAAATAAATTTTGCCCTTACATATAATTATTACATCTAAACTGTAAGTGCTTAATAATTTAAGTAGAAACGTATGACAAATGCATCAATATGTTGCAATATATGACATTTTTAAAAATGTACCTTTGTTTTTGGGAAAGTGAAAATGCGTGCATTCAAAAGAAAATCCCTCAAACAACCCACCCAATCAAAAATCCACCATCCTGTCTCGCGTGTGTGTGTGTGTGTGTGTGTGTGTACATGTGTGGGTGTCCCGGGTAAACACTCGAATGAGAAAGCTCTTCTTGGGGGAGAGGGCATGTGTGTGTGTGCATGTGCCGTGTTTCAGGGCGCAAGGAAGTGGTGTAAATCCTCGCGTGTTTGTTCCCGCAGGTGGCTTGACTGTGCGTGCGCGCGTGGAGAAAACTGGGGTCTTTTCCGTGTCAATTATGCGAGGTCATGTGCCTGGAGAGGTGGTGGCGCTCCCTGAAGGACTCGTTGCAAATGGGGCACTTGAGTTTCTCCTCCCGCCGCCGCTTCACCAAGGGCTCCATCGCGTACTCCTTTTTGTGGTGCGACCTCATGTGGTACACCAGGTCGGAGGTCATGCGGAAGGAGGCGTTGCACTTGGCGCACCAGTTCTGCGCGGGCAGACACAGCGAGGTGAAGGAGGGCGGCAACAGCGTGAGCGCCGAGGGCAGCTGCAGCTGCAGGGGGCCCGCGGCCGGCGCCGCCGGGCGCGGCGGGCGCC